CCCAAACAAAGAAGCAAACCAAATGTTTCAAACCAAACACCTGGCATGGCAACCAGCTCTAACGCTGCAGCCAAATTTAACTGTCCTTATTGCAATAATGAGCATAAAATATCAAACTGTAAAGAATTTGCCGCGGTTGGTTATAACACTCGACATAATTTCGTCCAAGATAATGGTCTTTGCTTTCATTGCTTGGGTCGTAACCACTCTGCTAACACGTGCATTGTTTATTTACGAGATGTCGCGTTTGTAAGCATAAGCACCACTCATTGCTCCACCCAAAACCAATAACAGAAATACAAAAAGCTGTTTTGTCCAAGCCAGATTTGTCAGTCGAAGTTAAGTCTGTACTGTCAAAGATAAAAACAGCACAAGAAAAGCCGGAATCGACTACGAACATTACAGCGGATTTTTCGAAGAAGATATCAAATTTTACTAGTAACTGCACTTGTTGTAGCAGCGGCAAGAAACGGTTATGCCCACTTGCTCAGAGCTCTACTTGATCAGGGTTCGCAAGCGTTGTTTGTTACAGAGTTAACGGTACAACTACTTGGCCTTAGGAAGATACCCGGTAGAAGCAACATATCAGGAGTAGGCTGCGATAAGAGCTCTCTATCTTCTAAGTACATCGTAATGATGAACATTCAATCGCGTTTCGATCCCTGCTTCCAAATACAAGTGCGTGCGCATGTTTTAGGCTCGATAACTAGTCTACTTCCATCGGAGAAGCTGGCTAATATAGATTAGCCAGAATTGGCTAATATCACTCTTGCCGACCCGCAATTTCACAGCCCGAGTAAAATAGACGTTTTACTTGGTGCAGACGTTTACAGTCAGGTCATAAGAGAAGGGTTGGTCAAGGGGTCCTAATGGCATTCCAACTGCTCAGTGTACTGCCTTAGGATGGATACTATCTGGCCACACACAGCTACCCGATTATAATCAAGCACCTTTATCTCATTGTCACCATAATATTATTAGCAGGCACTCTCAAAATGATGATAATGAATTACTAAAATCCTATTTCAGTGAAAGCAAGATTCTTAATCAGGAAGAACAGCGTTGTGAGGAATATTACAGTAATACCACTCAGCGGGATTCAACAGGTCGATACATAGTGCAACTTCCCTTCCGTGAAGACAATCCTCAATGTAAGTATGGGAATTCCAGAGACATTGCCATAAAGCGATTTCATCTTCTTGAAAACCGTTTCAAAAAGAACTCAGAATTCAATAAAGATATTCCGAAGTCATACATGAATATTTGAACCTAAGCCACATGCAACTTATAACTGACAGTGACCTTAATAAATCGGAATCTGTGGATTTACCCCATCACGCCGTTTTACGAGAAGATAAAACTACTACGAAGGTTAGAGTAGTGTTTGACGCCTCTTGCAAGGGAACAAACGGAGTATCTCTAAACGATACATTGATGATCGGCCCCATGCTTCAGCAAGACTTACGTCATATTATTATCCGATGGTGTATGCATCCAATATGTTTTAGTGCAGATATTATGAAAATGTATCGCCAAATTATCGTTGCAGATCAAGACACAGACTTTCAAAGGCTAGTTTCGAGAGATGAGCCTGAGTCTGTAATTAAAGAATTCAAATTAGTAAGGGTTACATTTGGCACATCATCTGCTCCCTACCTAGCAGTAAAGACACTACATCAGGTCGCAATAAAGGAATTTCCCAATATAGCTGAAAAGGTAAAAACGGATTTCTACGTGGATGATCTGTTGACTGGATGTCAGACAGTGGAAGAAGGAAAAAGCATTTATGAAGATATTAAAAGGTTACTGAAAAAGGGAGGTTTAAATTGCAGAAATGGGTAACAAACAACAAAGATTTGGCAGAAGAAATAATGGATGGACACGGAAAGGAGGAAGGAAAGGTTGATATTAAGATCGATTAGGTAGTTAAGGTACTGGGCCTTTTCTGGGATAAGGAAACGGATGATTTTCAATACAGTGTACAACTTCCTGAATTGAATAATCCTATTACCAAGAGAAAGGTAGTATCCAGCATCGTCTGTTCTACTCCTTGGGATGGCTAGCGCCTTGCATCATCACAGCTAAAGTAATGATCCAGAAATTATGGCTGGCAGGAATAGACTGGGATGACGAACTGCCAGATGAGTTACTAAAAGGAGTGGAATTTTTATACATCTGAGCTAGTAAATATTCGCGGACTTAGTATTCCAAGGTGGCTCAAGACTAAAGTCGATGATACTTGCATGGAGCTTCAAGGTTTTTGCGATGCGTCCGACTTTGCATACGCTCCGGTCGTTTACTTAAGAGCGATTGATGCTAAAGGTAAGATACGTCAATCTAGTTACAGCAAAGACTAAGGTTGCTCCAATTATGCAAATCTCCATTCCTCGCCTTGAACTTATGGGGGCAGTTCTTTTAGCTAAGTTAATCACAGATGTGGCTAATATTCTGGGAATTGATCATAACAATATACATGGCTGTACCAACTCCACTGCGGTATTGGCGTGGCTCAGCAGTCACCCTAGTCGGTGGACAACGTTTATAGGCAACAGAACGTCAGATGTTCTGTCAAGACTGAACAATACGTAATGGGCACACGTTCGATCGGCCCAAAATCCAGCAGATCTCGCTTCCAGAGGCTGCACTACTTTGGAACTTGCTGAAAGTAGCTTGTGGCTGCAGGGTCTATCATGGTTAAAAGATGGCAATATTATTTACCAAAGGCCAAAGTCCATCTCGACTACTTTGGAACAAAGAAAATTAAAGGTCCACGCTGTAACTAGTAGTAAATTTGCTACTGATTTCGATCTATGGAAAAAATTCTCGTCATTACAAAGGCTTATACGGGTTGTTGCCTTTTGTCGCAGACTCCTAAGGTAATAGTAGGTTTAAACCTTACCTTACAAGCACCGAGTTGCAGGAATCTTTAGACGTTTGTATAAAATAATGTCAACTCGCAGATTTAAGAAATGCCATGCAAAAATTGAAACCGTTAAGCCCCTTTCTTGATGATAAGGGAATAATTAGAGTAGGAGGTAGAATTGAGAATGCTAATCTACCTACAGATACTAAGCATCCTATTATTCTTCCTCATAAGAGCCACTTTACCAATTTAGTTATTGATAAGGCCCACCGAAAGACATTACACGGAGGCCCAACACTCATGCTAAACCATTTGCGCAGAAGATATTGGATTATATTGGCAAAGAGCCTTGTTAAAACATATGTGCGTAATTGTGTAGTGTGTGTTCGCCAAGCGGCAGTGGCAAAAATCAGTTTATGGGGCAGTTACCATACAGCAGAGTAACGTTAGCTAGAACATTTCTTCACAGTGGTGTGGATTTTGCTAGCCCCATCAACGTCCGAATGTCTAAGGGAAGAGGTAATAAATCATACAAAAGTTATATTAGTCTTTTTGAATGTATTTTGAAATTGGAAACATAGTTTTAATTAAGGAGGACAATCTTCCTCCAGGCCGTTGGCTGTTAGGAAGAGTGGTTGCCAAGCATCCTGGCTTAGACCAAGTCACTCGCGTTGTGACTTTGAAGTATGGTCAATCTCTCTTAAAAGACCAACTTCAAGGTTATGTATTTTGCCGGTTACACAATAATCATAATTTATCTCATGGTTGCAATAGCTAGTACTTAAATTAGATTAAGTATGCTTGTTTGATGCCCAAGAAACCTATACACATATAAATTAAGCCTACTGTCTAGTTATGTCATGGTGGGCGGAATGGAAAGAACGTTTAATAACGTTCTTGGTGGGCGGAATGTTCAACGCATTAATATTTTATGATATTTTTGATACTACTAAACAATTTACTTATACACAATTATATTACTACAGTTACATATATATGACATATAAAAGTTTTATTAATACAATGTTTTGACATCAGATGGTACTGCTAAAAATATGTTGTATTCCTAAATCTCGACATCATTTGCCCTTTGCAAATAGTATATATAGCTAAGATGCATGATATCGTAATAAAGTACTTGTATGAAGCTTTCGGTAGTTTTATTATAACCCGTAGTAGTCAATTCGATATCTGGTTTGGTCATTGTACAGGGACTTTATTCTAACGATTCAAATGTAAGAAACTATTCCACATCTAATATTAGAAATTATTCTTAAAATTATTTTAATAAAAGAACACTACTCGGTAACAAAGCAAAATCTGCTTACTATCAAGACCCAATTATACATAATAACACCAAAGTATGCAAGCAAACAACATCACTACCCATCTCGTTGTAACACAGGGCAGCCTCTCAGTAACACGATCTTCCTTGCCTACACTGGTATAACACCCCAATGGGCATAGTAACGACAGTGAGACTCGTAGAATTACAGACTGATCGCTCTTAGTCACCTGTGCAATACTGCTAAAACAATTAGGAGATTACCATTCTACCTCCATTCGCGCGTATTTCCTTTTTTTTACCCTCATTCCCAAACCTATTTATATTTTTCTTATCGTACTTATTGCACGTATTCCTCGCACTTTGTTGACTTTCGCGGCTCAAAGCACCTCGGCCTTTTTATATAATAGTATATAGCATATATATTATGTATGCATATTTATTATAGCATAGTATAAATAACAAAAAAGTTCACAGTTCACCTGATGGTAAATAGATGCTGTGGCCCATAGACATCTGCATCTATCTAAATTGCGAAGGCTTTGTTACCCCTGAGGACTAAGATGAAATGCTTCCTTTCCAGCAAAACGGGTATCCAGTAACATAACCATATGGAATACATTAGCATTAAGCTGTTATTTTACGCAGGTATTAAAGAAGACCGTGGTCCTCCGCAGGTCGAGCCAACTCATTCGTGCTACAACTATATATCCTTAGCATTGCTCTATCATATCTCTTCTCCATTCTTTAATTATAATATATAATATGATATTGAAATGTATTTTTACTAATCTTAATTTATGTAAATTTTTTTTTCAGTAAGTTTGATTCAACAAATTTAAATATTGTTACTTACGTTAAATACCCTTTATCTTGTACCTCTTGGAAAGCAAATGGAGAAGTTTTGAATGGATCCTGATTTGTGCCCGAAAATTCCACTTCTGAGTAGTTCCTCATCAAATGGTATTTCGTCTCCACTATCATCCTACTTAGTTCGGCATCAACGAGAAGTACGTTGTAAGTTAAAGGGAAGGAAACTTCGGGGGTCTTAAGATGTGGCAGTTCCTTTAAATACATGTCTTCTAGGATCCTGCGAATTCAACAAGTAAGTGAGAATTAAACTATTATGAAAGCGCGTTTTAAAATACTCAGCTAAATAACAGAAACTCCTTATTTTCCAAACCGATTTAAATATTTTTATATTTAGTAAGTAACTTGAAATAAATTAATCCATACTGATTTTTATAGGGTAACGGTGACAAACGAGCAGACGGTCCACCTGACGATAAGTTGATGCTGTGGCCCATAGACATCTACACATTTCCTCGATTACAAATCAAAATGCAGACGCATCTGTCACCCATGAGGACTAAGATGGAATGCCTCGTTTCCAGTAAAAAGGGTCTCCGTCTCTCTACTCACCATACGAAACACAGCAGCGTTAAGCTGCTATTTTACGCTGGTATTCTGTGAGAGCGTATTCCTTCCCCGGTCGAGCCGACCCATTCGTGCATCTATACCAGTAATATAGCTGCAGTCGTCTCATAAACCCTCTAACAGCTTTGCATAAAGGGCAGATTTGTATGAAATTGTCTTATTTCTAAATACATATATCATCCACCATCTTCAATTTCAATAAGATCACAGTTTTTTTTTTTATAAAAGAGGGGGCAAACGATCATGCAGCTCGTCTGATGGTCAGTGACTACCGCCGCTTATGAACTTGTACTATACCAGGGGAATTGCAGATGCTTTGCCGGACTTTTACAAAGGAATAAGCTCTTTTCTTAAAAGGTCCGTAAATTGTATCGGTCCGGAAAAATCGCTAGTGGTAGACGATTTCACAGAGGGATCTTACGACGAATCTAACTCCTAGTAAAACGTACAGTGGTGCATGTGAATGGTATCGTGAGTTTTGACGCGATGTACGTTCGTGAAATGGTCGGCTGGAATTAATAATTTTTTCAATAATGAATTAATCCGAATAATTTCTCAGAGCACTCCCCGTAATAGATGCGATATAAAAGCAAAGGGATGCAACATCCCTTCAGAGTGCCAGTGAATCGAGCCAATCAGAAAGAACTCGTTCTTAAACAATTCGAGCCACTCTACGCTAGATGCGGTCAAGTAGAAAGAGCTGGCACTGGGGAGCCCCGGTCCAGAGATATAAACAGTTTTCCATGTGTGACCGAACCTGTGCTTTGTATAGTTGCAGGCGGTGTGTCGGTATGAAATACTGTCCCGCTTTGCAGTGCACCCCAAGCTTTTCAGAGGCCAATTTGGTCTCCTCTTCCACGTGACCACGAAACTGCACATCATTCAATATGTCGACACCGAGGATTCAGATTCTAGCTAAGGCAACATAAGGAATACCTTGAAACTGAGGAGATGCGACAAAGGGGTTCTTTTTAGCGGTAAACGCGCAAACTTGTGTCTTCTAGGGATTGAACTGGACTAGATTTAGTCGCCCGTAATCCGAGACTTTGCTCAGCAAGGATACGAGTTCAGATACAAGTCTTTTCCGGTACTTGGCGACGTTTTCCCGAGAAATATTGGCACGGCCGAGAGCATAGAGCATCACCAGTGCTGTCATCCGCATAACAATGTATATTACCGGTGTAGAAGAAAATATGCGTTGGTGATAGCACGCAGCCTTGTGAAACACGTCTGTCACGTTTGCTGAATTTGGTGTCGGATTCTGTGGAAATTTTTAGCAATTCTTTGTCCTCTTTTAAAAAATGTGCTACAGAACTTAAGAGATAATTTTTAAGAATTCGATATGTATTAATTTTGTTATTTGGTTTAATTGATTATGGTGATTTTCCCCCTGTATTGTTTTAAGGTGTCTCAGTTTATTAGTTTATATATTTTTTATATTTTTGCTATTTCTCGGTTTTTGATTTATTTTTAGTTTATGTTTCTAATATTTTGTAATTTATGTTATAAAGTGTCTTCTTGTGAAGCATGTTGTGGCTGCATTTAATAGGTTTTACATTTAAAAATTAAGCTTATATATTGTTATGTGAACATGTATTATTGTAATTACCTCTGGCTGTCCCTAAAGAAATAAATAAATAAATAAACATCAGCATTAACAGGCTTGTAATCGGAGCATGTACTGACTACTACAACCTCGATGCTCGATCTGCAAGAAAACTGGTGATCCTATTGCACTGTTTCTCGGGAAGGGATCTTCGAAAGAAGCGCTCTGTGCCAAACCCGATCAAAGGCCTTTGCAATGACCAAACTAACGAGCAATGCCTTGGACTTTATTGCCCCCACTCATTTATGGTCAGGTAGACCAGATGGTCACCAGCTGATCGATCCCAATGAAAACCATACTGGGGGTTCTAATCAGCTTGTGGTCCTAAAGGTATCGCATGAGCTGGCATTTTATAATGGATTCCATTATTTTTAAGAAAAGGGAGGTGATGGCGATAGGCCTGTAGTTAGATGGGTCTGACTGATGGCCTTTTTCAGGGATCAGGTGAACCAAATCAAAATCGAATTTAGGAGTACGCCTAGGAAGTAGGAGTATCGAAAAAACGCGTTAGAACCGGGGCCAACTCTGCAGCACACGTCCACAGCACAATTGGGGGAATTCTGTCAGGCCCATTCGACTTGTGAATGTCCAGGAAGAGGAGTGTTTTGCGGACCAAGTGCTGTGTAAACTGCACATCCAGCAAGAAGCACTCACACTGCGGGATGGTCGGCGGTGTGTTCTCCTGTCATCATGAGTCGAGTTGGACGCAAAGAGAGATATAGTAGATTGGCTGTCTCCTTTGCGGCTTGGGCCAGTGATTTGTCCTCCCTGTGCAGTGATGGTAGAGATGGCTGATAGAAGTACCCTTGGATAGCCTTGCCAAGAGACCAGAATGCACGAATTTCCGAAGGAAAGCGAACTAGTTTCTTGCCAATTCTGCCGATCTGCTCTGCCTTAGCAATAACTCTTTTGAAGGACCTGCAATTATACTTCTTTTTAAGAGTGTTGGTGTTTACATCCAGAGACTTTGATTCATCAGCCGAGGCCCGGTAGCACTCCTGCTTATAGTTTGATGCTATTTTACAAAAGCGACCAAACCATGGCTGGGATCTGCCCCCAATGGGCACCACAGAAGAAAGAATAAGAAGTTCCATACCCTGAAGTACCATATCAGCGACAGAATTTGCAACAATATTGGGATCGTCCGGCTAGAATTAAACCTGCCAAGATGCAATAAAAGAACGCATCCTATCCCAATCGGCCGAACTATAGTGCCAAATACGGCGGCCGCCTACAGATTGCAAACGCGATGTTAGCGTGAGTGGCACTACATTCCGTACTAGACAATGGTCCGAGGAGCCAAGAGGGGCGTCGACGGAGATTTGGTATCCGTCCTGATGAGAGGTCATCAGAAGGTCTAACAAGGAAAATGCATGATCCTTTACATCTGGAATCCGCGTAGGCAAAGTAATCAGTTGTGCCAGACCATATGCCAAAGCAAGTTATAAACAGATCTCCCCGCATGATCAGTAAGACGTGAACCAAGCCATTCGGCGTGATGGGCGTTAAAATCCCCAAGAATCACGATGCGTATGGGATCCGCTGTAGCAAGGAATTTGTAACCATTCGTACGTGGTCGGCCGTAGACGTGTGGATGGTCATCCTTGTCTACGCGTAGCCAACGGATAGACATATCTGAACCTTCATGATTACCGAGGCGTCGAGAACAGATGCCCTCCCTTACGTTTACATAAACTCCAGCCTGAGGCTCAAAGGAGTGTTCATTTGTACGCCGGGTATGAGAGGTACGAAGTATCAGCCGGAGAGAACACCTGGGTCTTGGTCAGAAATAGCAAAGCGGGCATTGCCGTCTCCAGATGGTGGTGGGCATTTATGTTCGAGTGAAGCCCCCTGATGTTGCAGAAACCACGGATAGCGTGGCAGGGGTCGCTTTGGTCTTGTTGCTCAGCTTGCTCTGAGCAGTTTTTGTCTTGCGCGGAATTTTGCCCCCTCCCCCTAGAACACGCGGGGCAACCTGAGCATCCACGCTCTGGAGTAGAGTAGCTTGGTCGTGGATGCGCAGCGAGGGCTTCACCATTACCAGGGGTGCTGGTACTCTCCTGGGGTAGTCTCTCATTTAATTCCGCCACCATGTTGATGGGGGGATGCGGGGGGGGGGATTATGCCTCCGGCCACCTGTACTCAGCATACGGAACGCAAAAGCGGAGCTTCTACTTCACGCTGGTATTCTGTGAAGCCACGGTACCATCTCGTTTCGAGCTAGCCCATACGTGCAACAGTTTTTTAATAGTTTTGCAATGACGTCTGTGCGTAGCCATATTATATAGTTTGTAATAGCTTGCACAGATTTGAACGAATATTTCGAGTTGCACAGTCAAACAGTAGCAGCATAAAACGCTCGAACTAATCTACACATCGAATGATGAATTATTTGTGGAAATTCTCTCCTATCCGGTGTACAAATTGTAACACCTTTGTACCTGGGTTGGAGTTTGCGTATACGACAGAGAGGATATCTGTTATCGACGCCTCGGCAGTCTTGAAGGTCAGCGACGACCATCCTCGTGTCTACGGGTGCCTCTCTAGGTAATGCCGACACAGACCATCTTATCGACCACGTCCAAAACGCTGCAGACTCCGTGCTACAACAGGTCCCATCTGCAGAGATCTTGATCTTATGTGATTTTAAAGGCCACCACGCTGAATGGCTTGGTTCACGTTTAACCGATCATGCGGGAAGATTTGTTTATGACTTTGGCTTGGCATATGGTCTGTGGTTCACCTACGCTGATTCTAGATGTGGAGGGTCATGCACCTTCCCTGTAGGACCTTCTGCTGACCTGCTCATCCGGACGGATATCAGGTCTCAGTTGATGCCTCTCTTGGCTCATTAGACCATTGTTCGATCCGGATTATGGTGCTCATGAGGTTGAAAATCAACCAACTGAAAGTGACCGCCAGTACGATTTCCGTCGGGGTTGCTCAGCTGTTGATCTTCTGGCTTACATGACATAAATTGGCGAAGGCAGAGAGGGAGACTTTGGCCGTTAGTTTGAACATAGCGAAAGCCATCGATTGGGTTTGGCACAAAGCGCTTCTTTCGAAGCTCCCTTCCTATGGGCTTCCCGAGAATTTGTGCAACTAGATCACCAGCTTTCTTGCAGATTGGAGCAACAAAGTCATAGTAAAAGGTGCATGCTCCATTTACAAGCCTATTTATGCTGGTTACAACATATATCTGTGTTTATGGTGGGATTGGAATGGCATCGTTTATTATGAGCTTTTATCGCCTGGCAAAGCCATCGATTCGTATCTGTACTACCAACAACTTTTGAAACTCAAGCAAGAAATTGAGAAAAATCAGAAAAGGAATTGATAAAAAGTGTTGAAGTTGGTAAAAAATTACTTTGCGTACATTCGTTCGATAAAATAAAATGATGTGTTTTAGCCAGTTTAAAGAGCACCTCCCACCCTCTCTCAATTGCGTACACTATCACCGTCACCACTAATCCCAGCACCACTATTTCCAACACCACTACACTAGGAAAGACACACCACCTACAACGATACGACACGTGTTTCGCCTCTACACGAGGCATCTTCAGGTGATCTAGACTCTTTCGTCTAATATTATTTTATTTAATTTTTTTCACATATCATACAACTTGATCAAGGCTGTCAAAAACATTCTCCGTTTATTAATTCTGTCTCAGCTCGTACTAAAATTTCATTGTATTTGTGGTCTACGGTGGCTGACCGCTAAGTGAGCGGCAAGCCAAAACAACTCCTATTTATACAGACTGCTGACGCAACCGTTCCCTATTTAAGGAGCGAGCGACTGCGTCATACGATAAAACATGCGACCAATCACCGCTGGACTTACGCAAAGGCTGGACTTGACCTAAAGACCACAGACGTGCCCCGGCGACCCCCAGACAGCGGCCCTACGCGCGGTCTATTTTTTTCCATCATCCATAAAATGATCGTCAATTAACGGGAGACGCCCAGGCCCGGCATCGTTTCCATATTAGTACCCTCAATTCTGCCGAGGCACGGCGTTCACACCTCTTGGCAAGGCGCTGACTGACTTCACCGACGTAGCAGTTTTGTCACTTAACTGTTACATAATTGGGCGATGGGGTCGTCACATATTTATTGTTATTATTATTATTATTTGAATGACATATATTAGTTGAATGACACGCCAACTTATTAGTGAAGTAAACAAAAGAATTCAAAAGTCATCTAAAATATGTTACTATAGTAGCCTTTGTAGGATTATACTGAGTTGAAGACCTATTCCGTATCACATTTTTATTTAATACACACAAAACTTTTTTTCTTTCTAATAGTAATTTATTTATTCATTACCAGCAATAAAAGTATTTACAAACTTACAAGTACACATGTACTAACACACGTACACGCAGACATAATACAACACCCGCCAAATGGCGAGTTAAGGTGAAAGCGTCCCGCGAAATTCAAATTTTCTTACGTGTTTTGCAATTTGTAGGTCAGTGTCAGGTTGTATGTTTAATAAAATTTTATTTGCGACCGTAACCAGTACGTATTTACAGAATTATATTCATTATAATCATCAATACAACCCTCTAAGTTCGTATAATCCTATTGTTTGGCTATTTCCAGAAAAACTCATTCAAAGGGATTATATGAACTTGGAGGGTTGTATGGTGATATTGATGATAATAATTCTGTAAACATATACTCGATAAGGTCGCGAATCCTATTTTGTTAAAAATTCAACCTGGTCCAGACCTGCAAATTCCAAAAAACATTACAAAATTTGAATTTCGCGTGCCACCCTGGAGCTTTCACCTTAAAGCCCTAATACTTAGTAATTGTCCTTTTTTATATCAATTAACACACAATTACTTTTTTAAACTTATTGTAATAAAGAGATATGTTATGCTATATTAGTATTAACGTAAACCACGTTAGAACTCAAAATCAGAATTCAGGCCTCTTTTTAAATCAGAAAGATCGAATTAAATATGATTAGTAAGATTATCATTAAACCAAAATTAGTTTTAAAGAGAAAATCAAAATAATTTAAAGTCCGTACTTACACGTGGACTACATTATCAAAAATATAAAATCCATTTGACAACTTGCAAGCATTTTCATTTATTCTTTCAATCCCATCGATTTCTTTTGTACCAAAGTTGTCCCTTAATGCCTGTCAAAATAGACAATGTAAGCAACATTCCACGAATCCAAGTCACTTGAAAACACCTCGTCCGTAACCTTCAAAACTGTTCAACTAGTGCTTGTGGATAATAATTACTTACGGCTGATATAATGAATATGCCAGCCGTGGTTCGTTGGTTGGCGACTGCTAATTATGTGGTCCAGGTTGAAATCCTAGGTAGGGCTTAATCAATTTTTGGATTTTAGAGCATGGGTGTGTGAACAAGCACAGGTGCACTGCTATGCCCTTACTCTGACACAATCGCAGAGAGGTGAGGCGCATCTTTCCGGTTGTAATATGTGTTCTCCGAGGCGCAGGGGTGAAAATCGTTACTACGGGCCGCTACTAAGAATTTTTTGACAGAAAAATACAATAAGTTATAATTGGCCTGCTTAAAGAAAACTTCCTCCCTGCTTTCAAAGTCCGGCGTAAAATAATACAATTAATAGAATCAGGCGTTACTTTGCGGAAATCCATTATATAAAAGCTTTTAAAAAATTATTACTTCGCAAACATCCGCTATATAAAATAAAATTATGTGTCTTACCTAGTATGAAAAGCACCTCCCGCCCTCCCTCAATTGCGTGCACTATCCCCGTCACCACTAATCCCAGCACCACTACTCCCAACACCACTACACTAGGAAAGACACACCACTGATGACAATACGACACGAGTTTCGCCTCTACACGAGGCATCCTCAGGTGACTCTACGGTGGCTGACCGTTACGGTGCCTCATTTAACGGTCAGCCACACGCAATTGAGGGAGGGCGGGAGGTGCTCTTCATACTAGGTAAGACACATCATTTTATTTTATATAGCGGATGTTTGCGAAGTAATAATTTTTTTAAATCTTTTGTAAAATAATACTTCAACGTTGTAATGTCACAGTGTCAACAAGTCAGCATGAATTTTGTACGGAATTGTTAGATGTGACTGTAAATATACATAAACTGGTTTTAGAAACAAGTCAAAGAGACTTAAATACTTGAAAATTTGTAAATTCAGGTACTTTGTACTTCGTAGTTACACTTTGCCTCCAAAAAGTTCCTCCTTAGTTTAGGATTAACAATCAAGGATATATGCAGTATCGCCACCTTTTTACTACCTACAGATAGACTGTAAGCTCGTTTGGAATTCTAATACTTAAAAACCACAAAATTTTTCGAAGAGTAGAATTCTACTTACAAGTTTTAAAGCGTTTTCGTAGGACTTTCTGTCATTTTCCCATTGTTTTTGAACTTTTTTTATAATTTCTGTTTACGAATAACATATGTAAATTTAATTAAAAGGTATAAAATATACTATAAACTAGAAGTTAATAATGTCAAAACGAAAAGGCACGCGTTGGTCGTAATATTACAAATTTTTATTTTCGGGTTTAAATTAAAATTTAGTGAACTCTTTTACTACTATTTAGTAAATTTATTAAAAAAAACGAAATTTAAATGCAAGAAAAATTTCATTAAAAAATGATAGGTATTTCCTCTTAATTCTCAAAGGTGACAACGCCTCTGTACATTGTACCTTCGAAGTTGGCTACTGGTGTCAATATACTGCAGTGGCCATTGTAAATCTAGTAGTAATAATATAATGGAAAAACAAGTTGACTGTAAGTTCGGTCGTTCAATTCAGATTAATTAATAAAAATTGGAGAAACCTCTTAAATTTTACGTTATATGTTATTCCTACTCAAGGAAATATATAGCATGGTAGAAGTCTTTTTCTGTCCAGGGGTTCATGTGGGTAGGGACACCAGAACCTTTACCCATTTCTCTGTATTAGAAAAGAATAGAATAGAATGATGTTTTACTCAATATTGATTATTACATAATACTTATTGATGATTATTACATAATTCATATTTCACTTTTTTATTTATCACTGGTTCGAAAAATACCTCTGTCCTGGGAAGAAACAGCAAGAAACCCAGCGGGACTTTTTTAAACATATTTCACTTAACAATAATGTTGTTTATACAATTTTTAAAGGAATTTTCCCATTTCCCAGGGGTTATTTTCAATCATGTATTCCTTGATATTATAATAACCCTTTCTGTACAGTGTTTCTTTAATAAAACTTTTAAGCTTGTTTAGTGACAAACTTTGAACATGTTCTGGAATTTTGTTGTAAAAACGTATACATTGCCCCATAAATGAATTACTGATTCTGTGGATTCTAGTAACTGGCATTACAAGCTTATATTTGTTCCTAGTGTTTAAGGTATGAACATCCTTAATTTTATTAAAGCTATTTATGTTTTTATGTACACACATTACATTTTCATAAATATATTGCGATGCCAAAGTTAATATGTTTATTTCTTTAAATTTCTCTCTCGGGGACTCTTTACAATTTAGGTTATAAATCGCCCGTATGGCTCTCTTTTGCAAAACAAATATAGCTTCAATATCTATCGCTATGAAAGTAACTAAAATACACTAATCTATCTATCTCAACATCTGTGGGACTTCTAATCTTTCTTACAGCATATGCTGCAGAACTAAGTTTGTTTGCTAATTTAGATATATGAAGTTTCGCGTCAATAGTAATACCAAAAAATAAAAACAGTGGTATCCACAAGACTCAACTCCTCCCCATTTAAGAGCACATTGGTATTCAAATGTTTTACATTAGGTATTTTAAATATATTCCTACTCAAGGAAATAAAAGTTATATATATAATTATAAAAGTTCCTGCCTAAATTACTATGTCCCAGTCTAAAGGGTAGGAGAGCCAGTATAGTTACAGTGAAACACTTATTATAGTGCTCAGCGATGACAACGTATCTTTAGCGTTCTTAATTCGAAGTTGCTATCGAGTGTCCACGGGCTGCAGTAACCACATGACATCAGGTAGAATTTTAAATAATTTGTCATGTTTTAAAAAAAATTGTAATTACTTTCTTAGAAGTTAATTGGTTCCCTTTATAAGATTTGTTTAATAAACCCGGAAAATCCTCTGCCACTGAACATTTATAAAAATATATAGCCATGTTTCAGCTATACTATAACTGTGGCACTACTGGATGGCTACGTTGGGGGAAAAGCATGCTCTGATACCATTTTTACTAGTAACAAGGCATTCCTTTTTATTATTCAGTTGTATATCAGGTATTATAAGAATTACAATATCTTCATTTTGATTCTTAATCAAATACAGTTGTAAGCAATCTATGAGGGAAACCATACACATCTCTTATTACTCTAACTATAGTCTTTTGGCCGAGTCGAGCAAATATAGCCCTATCTCTATCGCACAATTGCATACAAAAGACAAGAAAAAAATAATGAGTTTTTGGCTTAATGGGCGTGACCTAGCAGTCGAAAATGTTAAGCCGCGTTCACAATAGAGCACAAAAAGTAGTAAAAATAATTTCTTATGATATGAAATTACTCATTTACTTTTAAGACGAATAACTACGCGCAATAAAAATTGTGCACTACAATTATTAAAATCACCGACCTTATCAATCGCTGATTGCTATTATTATTAATTTCCAGTGATTTTAAAAACCCATTTACAACTTATACTTTTATCACTATATATACTGACATCCAGTGCAATCTCAAAAACGATAGAACAATTCTACAAATGTTCTGCGACGCCGTGGATGTACCATTTTTGAAAGAGCGAATTATATTGCAAATCATCATCTTTACAGTAAATGCAAATGGTCGTCGGTATCTTTTTTTAATAAATCCATCCAACTATCTGCCATTTTCACAAATAAAATATATGTCGGATAATTTCGACAGAGGATCACAATTTTGATCTCTGAAATACATCAGGATAGCGTTAACTGTTAAAAATAATAAAAGTGTGAGAGCGGAAGTTCAACTTGCTCTCGTGCTTACGCAATTAATCATTATCAGTAATAAGACAACGTAACGCACTATACATTCGGTATAGGCCCTTTTTACTGGAAATGAGGCATTCCATCCTAGTCCTCACGGGTGACAACGCATCTATATTTTGATTCGCAAACGAGGATAAATGTAGATGTCTATGGGCCACAGCAACCACTTACCATCAGGTGGACTGTGTGCTCGTTTGTCAGCCTATCCTATAAAAAAAAATAGTGAAATTACAGTTCGACCACACCGTAATAAGTCTCCGCCACAATCACACACCAGTGTAACGTGATGTACGTAATTACATGACAACACCAAAATATGTAAACTAACAGCAACACTACTTATCTCAATGTAACAGGACAGAATCTCAGCAACACCAATCCTCCTTGACTGCACTAGAAGAATTACAACAACGAACCAAACCACGACACTATCTTAGCACTAGTAGAGTGACCGCACTCGTTGAATGACTTGAGCGGAATCCCTGACGTACGGCACCTACAGTGAACTTTATACTACAGACACAAGAGAGAGTTTCTCGATATTCCTAGATATTCTCGATATATATAAGCAGTCCTGACGTACGACCGTCCTCGGGCGTGTATTTTCATGCATTCCTGTAACAAACAACAATTCGTCCTCTCGTCCATCCTGACATGAGTGGGTACATAATATTATTAGTTCGCAAAACTAAATTGTTAGATGGCGTTGCTTGTTGTACTATGGCACCATCAATCCACGACACGGCCATCCCTGACTAGCATCCGTCTTCGATTGCAGTGCCTGTAGACAAAATATGCTCAGAGATTAATCTAGCTCGGCTATTCTCCAAAACAAGGTCGATTTCAAATGGTACTTTACTTCACCTAAGTCTAAGTACTATAGTCAACTGTCATAATTGCCAATGCCTTGTTATTAAGGCTTCGTACACAGTGCTTCCTGCACAACATGATTTATTGCGAAAGGTCCGATCAACAAGTTCGAACACAGTAATTTTAACAATTTTGTTACTCTTTACAATTCATAAGCGATGCATATTCAACTCGTGAAACTTTCATTGAAATCTGTGCACCAACACAGACCAGAATCGTACCAACGATTCTTTACAGTCTGCCGTCACATATGCCAGAATCGCACCAACGATTCTCCACATATCTACAGCCACATATGCTACAACACATGAGGGGCTCCGTGCACCAACACAGGCCAGAATCGCACCAACGATTCTTTACATATCTGCCGTCACATATGCCAGAATCGCATCAACGATTCTCCACATATCCGCCGCCAAATATGCTACAACACATGAGGAGCTCTGTGCACCAACACAGACAAGAATCGCACCAACGATTATCTACAGACCCATCGCTACATGTTACTCATGAGATGCGGTCTAAAGTTTTGAGTATGAGTTATACAAGCCATTCTTAATCAAATTTGGTCTCACTACTACTGTCATCAACTATGACATCTAACTCTCGAGGAACTTGGTGATCGAAAATCTTCCTCACATGATCATGGGGGTATTTGTGGGGCCCTTTTCACACTAACTTAACCGACTCCGGTTAAATTTACAACATTATTTGCGCTTTTGCCACAACACCATCTTTGATGAGAGGGCAGAGATTCGGCCCGGAATCATAATAAAATGGGTACGACTCACCAGTATTCATCAGCACACCGCTGTAATTGCTCACATAGCAGACGTAAACACATCGCTCACTGCTCGCCGCTGCGGCAGGCCATAAAGCTAGCGCACGTGACTACTAAAACAACAGCTCACATCATAATTACCTGCCATGAGGCAAGCTCAAGTGGCTAAAAGATCACAGCACACGCTATAGGTAGCTGTCATGAGCCAGCACAGTGAGCCGTCGCGCCACACCAGGTCCAGCGAGACGCTGCGCCGCATCACGCACTCGAAGCGTCAACGTGAGCAGCAGGAGCACCTGAGGGTTCACAGGCATCGTCGGGGTTATCGTCATCGTGATAGCATACGCGCGCTCCGGGATGGCGCGCCTGCGTATACGCGCATACGCGTCTGACGAAACCAGACCACGCTACAGCTGGACCTGGCTATCCGTTCCGACTAGTAAGGCACACACTCTTCTCACGCTCACGCACGTGTAATCATATCACACGTGCTACTGTAACACAAAAGGAAACATTAAAAATATTCAGTAAACACGACTTCCTCTGGTACGATCCGATTCTCTTGTAAACTTTCTTGTAAATTTTCTCTACTTCAACTTCGTCAATTATACTTTGGTTTTCCGGCATTTTTCGCAACCAACTCGTGTATCAAATTATATCATAACTTGAGCAAGATCAATTTCCACTGAATGCAAACTATAACTCATTTAGAATACCTCCAACCTTCAACATTTCTTGCGACATTTATTATCATATTTGGTTACGTTAAGAAATAATGAAAGTACTTGCGGGTACTTTTTATTATAAATCGAACAAAAAGATTTAACTTCTGTCTTTAAATATTTAACTTTAAAATTTACTCTACACTTTAATGGTACGTCAAAGTTGTAAATAGGACAAAAAAAACTTCATTAGGACATTTAACATCAAAACATAACGCGAGGCGTGTCATAGTCTTTCACCAATGTAATAACCCTCACACTATTCGAAGGTTATATGTGGACGATAACAGGGACTTGATCCCACTTCTGATCTCGGAAATTACAACAGGGGATCCCACTTCTGATGTCGGATAATTTCAACAGAGTATTCCACTTTGTGGTCTCGGAAATACATCAGGATAGCGTTAACTGTTAAAAATAATAAGAGTGTGAAGCGGATGTTCAACTTGCTCTCGTGCTTACGCAATTAATCATTATCAGTAATAAGACAACGTAACGCACTATACATTCGGTATAGTGAAATTACAGTTCGACCACACCGTAACACGTCTCCGCCGCAATCACGCACCAGTGTAACGTGATGTACGTAATTACATGATAAAACCAAAATATGTAAACTAACAGCAACACTACTTATCTCAATGTATAAGGACAGTATCTCAGCAACACCAATCCTCCTTGACTGCACTAGAAGAATTACAACAACGAACCGAACCACGACACTATCTTAGCACTATTAGAGTGACCGCACTCGTTGAATGACTTGAGCGGAATCCCTGACGCACGGCACCTACAGTGAACTTTATACTACAGACACAAGAGGGGGTTTCTCGATATACCCTCCATTCTACCTCGATCCAACCCGGTATTTTAAAGACGCTCCGACATATAGTTAAATTTCACAAAACGAAAAAGTCTTTAATAATGCGCCAAGTCGTCAAGTGTAAACCGATTAAGTCCAAATCACTAGCCAGGTTACTAACACAGCAAAGAAATACTATTAGATCCAAAACAAGCCAGGTCGCGGTAAAGAAAGAAGCGTTCGTATTCGCAGTATTTGCAGAGATCTTTCGAAGCGTCTGAACAATAATAAGTGCAAAAACAGACTGATATAACTTACAATGTGAACACTGCCCATGCGCCTTATTTCTATCAGAATCAGGTGCGAGCATTGATATATATGTACTACGTACTAGATTGCGCATTAGGAACATACACTATTTTCAACTGAACTGTAATGCAATCCGTAGTTAGTCTGTGGTTTCAATATGCATGCAGTATGGAGCGGCGCTAATAATACAAGATATCAAATTAAAGTTTAAACCTGGACGTAAATAACAATTCAGTAGTCAAGTAAGTAAAATTATTTGTTGTTTAAGTGAATAAATCGGTAATAATATCGTAATATAACAAAAGAAAAATATCATGAAGAAATATATTTCTTTATATAAACTGACCGCGCAGACGCGACTTTACTATCTCCCGCGCATGCGCGAAAACATAGAGTAGTACACATTTTTTGTTTAGAAAGGCTTCTTTAGTACGTAGTACATATAGCTCAATGGGTGCGAGGAAATTTTTTCGGTACTAACTCGACTCGACGAACAGACTATAGCATAAAAGTGTTGTAAAACTCATATTTTGAATGAGAATGTCTACGGTACATCAACTAATGTGTTTTGGTTTGAACGGTATAAAAACACAGTGTGATTTCGTACAATAAGAAATTTAAGGCATTCAATCTTATTCTGCAGTATTCTTAACCTGGGTATCTCAGGTAATTTAGTAATCACAACAATCGACACTTATATGTTTCGTTATAATATTAAAAGTATCAGTGACTATGATTATAGAATGAAGAGATAGGAAGTGCTTGAAACGTCGGGTATATAAAATAATATACTCGAAAAAATCCCTAAAAACTTATTTTATTTAAACGTGTAGTGTTCGCGTAAATATAAGTAATCATTAGGACTTTCTACTTTATTATATCTTAAAGTTTTGGTGCCATTTTACAAAAAAAAAAACTATAAGGGTTTAAGGTGTTTAATTAGTAGATCGTCATACAATCTTATTTTAAAGCTAGTAGTAGACAAAACGAATCTTTCCAGGCTTGTAATATCAGTTAGTAATTATGTTTTATTATTTTTTCATCAACAAATAACACTTACCACTATTATAATAGCTCTTAGTCGCGGACTCAATATCACAGTTTACAAAACAATTTTCTACTAATATTTTTAAAATAGTAAACGAAAATATAAACCAATTCATATTCACCGCTATATTACGTCCTTCCTTTATAATATTTCAGATAACATTGAAGCAATTTCCAATAAAAATAGCTCGTAAAGTTTTAGATCGAAAATTTCGTTTAAGTTATTTTAATTAAAATATAATTGAAATATTTTTACGAGTTTAACTTTCACGACTGGTCACATTTCGACACCGGGTTTTGAACTTGGGTTACTCGAGACTACATTTAGAAGGACCAACCAAACTTATACACTACATATAATGTATGAACTTCTTCTTCATCAGGGTCATGAAAGCCTAATATCTAAAGTTAATATAAAAGCTTCCTGTAATTTCCAACAGTCTCCTCTCATAACACAAATGGGACCCGTGGCCTGAATCCGAATGATCCTAGAATTTTTAAATTATCTCCAACTTTTAGGTGTATATAATCTACGATGTTAATCGATAATCCTTTCCTACGATGTCGATGGTTCATTTTCCGTTAATTAAGTGGTAAATCAGCATATAAAATTGAAATTACAAATGGGCTCGCTTATGTACCGTGTGACTATCAAGACTCAGTAACATTATTAAATCTGTGCCAAAGGTAGCGGGGTGCATCTGAGAAAGCCGTGCTTTTTCATATAATTAGCCATACGTGGCCTGCAGAGTGTGCGTAGTAGTTTTATCTAATAGCACCTGAAGGGAAACACGCAATATCGTATACAGTTATGTTCTAAATTCCAACTAAACTAAAAATGATTGTGCTAGGAGTTTTCACGACCATAGCCGAATGGTGGATTAAAACCAACGACTTTTAAGTTAGACTTGTTAGTTTAGGTAGACGAAAGAAAAAAAATTCGGATAATGATAAGTGACACACATATATATATATATATATGTATATATATATATATATATATATATGCATATATATATATATATATATATATATATATATATATATATATATATATATATATATAAATATGTATATATAAGGCCGTGTAGTGGCGGTCAAGAATATCCACTAACCCATATCTTCCCGTGGGTGTCGTAAAAGGCGACAAAGGGAAACAGGCAGGAGATGGGCAGCAGCATCTTCCTGATAATAGCCAAAATAACAATAAAAAAACTGCGGTTGCCAACCCGCTCGCCAAGCGTGGCAACTATGGCAATATACCCCCCATGAGCAAAGACAATAATAAACGGCCCCCAGTCCCCGGCGGCCCCGCTATTCCTGGCTACGGTGGCGACCATGGTAACGGCGGGGCAGGGGGTGCTAAGAATCTCCGGTGGAGGTTCGGTTACCACCTACGACGACTCGACCTGGCAACATACAACGCACGCACCCTGAGAACTGACGAGAAGATTGTGGAGCTGGAAGAAGAGATAGACAAGTTACGCTGGCATATTATAGGATTATCCGAAGTCCGAAGAGAGGGGGAGGACACGGTAATCCTCGAATCCGGCAACTTGCTCTATTACCGGGAGGGTGAACATCTGTCCCAAGGAGGTGTCGGATTTATCGTCCACAAGTCTCTCGTTAACAACGTTGTAAAGATTGAGAGTGTGTCGACGAGGGTTGCGTACCTTATACTCAGAATCACCAAACGGTATTCGCTGAAGGTCATACAGGTTTACGCACCAACCTCGGCACACCCCGATCAGGAGGTGGAGGAAATGTATGAGGATATCTCTAAAGCCATGCATTCCTCCAAAACCCAATATACGGTGTTAATGGGAGACTTCAATGCAAAACTAGGCACAAGAGAGAACGGTGAGCTGAAAGTAGGGAAATTTGGAATAGGGCAACGGAACCCAAGGGGCCAGCAGTTGGCTGACTTCATGGAGAAAGAGGGACTCTTTATGATGAACTCTTTCTTCCAGAAGCGGCCCCACAGGAAGTGGACCTGGTCGAGCCCCGACGGTTCGACAAAAAATGAGATTGACTTCATTATGACGACCAGACGACAACTGTTCAGTGATGTCTCAGTGATCGCGAGGGTGAAAACCGGCAGCGATCACCGAATGGTTAGAGGCACACTGAACCTAAACGTTAAGTTGGAGAGGTCTCGTCTAATGAAGTCAACGCTCCGTCCCCCTCGTGCTCTAATCCAAAGTCCCGAAACCTTTCAGCTCGAGTTACAAAACCGTTTTCAGTGCCTAGAAGACTGCAATGAAGTGGACGATTTGAATGACAAGCTCGTGGAAACTGTCCATGCGGTCGGAGCTAAGTTCTGCAAGACCCGCCGCAGAAGAACACAAAAACTCTCCGATCACACTCTTAATCTCATGGCTGTTAGACGGGAGATGAAGCTGCATTCTTCAACATATTTGACAGCATACAGGCAACTGAATAGACAGATCTCCAAATGCATGAGGCGGGACTTACGCAAATTCAATACAGCTCGTATTGAAGAAGCGATCGAGCGGAACCAAGGCTCCAAAGTATTTGCCAGAGACCTCTCTGCCAGAAAGCGCCAACTGTCAAAGCTGAAGACAGAATGTGGCAGCATCGTTTCCGGGGCACCTGAGATTTTGAGTGAGATTGAGAGGTTCTATGGGCAGCTGTACATGTCATCGTTGGAGCCACACGCAAGTGTGAGTAACGATCCAAGAGCGAGTCTTATCCGACATTATTCCGATGATATCCCGGACGTCAGTCTGAGCGAGATTAGAATGGCTCTCCAGCACCTTAAAAACGGCAAGGCCTAAGGCGAGGATGGAATTACAGCGGAGCTTCTGAAAGCGGGTGGAAAACCGGTACTTGAAGTCCTTCAGAAGCTCTTTAATTCCGTCCTCCATGGTGGCATTACACCGGAGGCGTGGAGCAGAAGTGCGGTGGTCTTGTTCTTCAAGAAAGGTGACAACGCTCTCTTGAAGAACTACAGACCAATTTCCCTTCTGAGCCGCGTCTACGTGCTGTTTTCGAGAGTCATTACGAATCGTCTTGCGCGCAGACTTGACGACTTTCAGCCTCCCGAACAAGCCGGTTTCCGAAAAGGCTTTAGCACCATAGACCACATACATACCCTTCGGCAAATTGTACAGAAGTCCGAGGAGTACAATTTGCCACTATGTCTGGCGTATGTGGACTATGAGAAAGCCTTTGATTCCGTCGAAATTTGGGCGGTGCTGCAGTCCCTTCAGCGATGCCAAGTTGACTGTCGGTATATCGAAGTGTTGAAGTGCTTGTACAGTAGGGCTACGATGGCTATCCGAGTACAGAACCAGAGTACGAAACCTATCCAATTGCAGAGAGGTGTAGGACAGGGTGACGTCATATCCCCGAAACTCTTTACCGCTGCATTGGAAGATGTTTTCAAGCTTCTGGACTGGAAAGGATACGGTATCAACATCAATGGCGAGTACATCACTCACCTTCGATTTGCCGACGATATAGTCCTTATGGCAGAATCGCTGGAGGACCTAAGCACTATGCTCAATGATCTCAATAGTGTTTCCCAACGGATAGGTCTTAAGATGAACATGAACAAAACAAAGATCATGTTTAATGTCCATGTCACACCTATGCCGGTAGTTGTTGGGAACACTAAGCTCGAAGTTGTTGACGAGTATGTTTACCTGGGACAAATAGTCCGACTAGGTAAGTCCAACTTCGACCGAGAGGTCAATCGACGGATTCAACTCGGTTGGGCAGCGTTCGGGAAATTACGGCACATCTTCTCGTCAGGTATACCTCAAAACTTGAAAACGAGACTGTACACCCAGTGCGTGTTGCCAGTGATGACATACGGAACTGAGACGTGGTCCTTCACTGCTGGCCGGACGAGGAAGCTCAAGGTCGCTCAGCGAGCTATGGAGAGGGCTATGCTCGGAGTTTCTTTGCATGATAAACTCAGAAATGAGGATATCCGCAGTAGAACTAGAGTGACCGACATAGCCCAACGGATTAGTAAGCTGAAGTGGCAGTGGGCCGGCCATATAGCTCGAAGAACCGACAACCGATGGGGAAGAAAGGTTCTCGAGTGGCAGCCTCGTACCAGCAGGCGAAGTGTAGGGCGTCCCCCCACTAGATGGAGTGACGACCTGGTAAGATATGCAGGAAGTCGATGGATGCAGGTGGCTCAGGACCGTGCTTTGTGGCATTCTTTGGGGGAGGCCTATGTTCAGCAGTGGACTTGTGAAGGGCTGTAATGATGATGATGATGATGATGATATATATATATATATATGTCACTTATCTAGCGGTATTTAAATGATCTAGCGGTTTGTACTACGAGTGAGCTACAAAACCTGATGGCTGTGGTTCGATTCCCATGATTCCCATCCAGTATAAAAATTAGGGTACCTGAACACATGAAAACATTCGTATATACTGTTGGAGACCTTTTTTTCTTCTTTTTTTCTATGTGTAACTAGCGAGCGTTAGCGGTTCAGGCAATCTATTATGATAGAGTAACAAACATAAAAAAAAAACATCTAACATACACTTTTATGTTTATGTTATTAATTTGATTTTTTTTATATAGAATAAGGGTGACAAACGAGCGCGCAGTCTACCTGATGGTAAGTGGTTGCTGTGGGCCATAGACATCTACATCTATCTTCGTAGCGAATCAAAATGCAGATGAGTTGTCACCCATGAGGAATAAGATCGAATGCCTCTTTTCCAGTAAAATGGGTCTCCGGTTCTCTACACTCATCATACGAAATACAGCAGCATTAAGCTACTATTTTACGCTAGTATTCTGTGAGAGCGTGGTCCATCCCCGGTCGAGCCGACCCATTCGTTTTACAACTATACTATTAGTATATTTGCCGCATGGTTCTACCACGTGCAAACGTAATTAATAAGATAAGCATGTAGTTACTTTCATAGCATAATGTCTTATGAAATCTTACTATGGGATAATGCAACTCACATTAAAGTCATATTTATTTGCAAAATATAGGCATACGGATGATTTATAACTTAAATTGTAAAGAGTCCCTTATAGACAAATTTTAAGGAAATTAACATATTAACTTAGCATCGTAATATATTTATGAAAATGTAATGTATGTAGATA